GCAGGAATTATTTCTTTTCTATCCTTCTAAAATTTATGCCTCATACAATTAACTCAGATGAACTGTGCACTCAAGAAATCTCAAGAGAAGAGAGAAAATTGTCACATAATCCATTTAACTTTGACCCAACTCTGATCCTAACTAGTCTCAACTAGTCTTTCAGGGATGCTTAATAAAAGAATTTAACAAGTTTCCTCAAAAACTACCCCTTTATTTCATTTACAGTCTCATGAGAAATATATTAGTTTGACTGCCTTCAAAATGGAATCTTCATAATTACCTTTTCTTCTTTTTCTCTTTTTTGATACAATGACTTGAGTTCCTGTGATCTAAGGGTACTTGAGTGGCAGGTCCTATGTGATTGGATTGTTATAAAACAGCATCTATAGAAAGCCAGAACTTTCATAAACCTATTCACCAATGAGTTTATTAGTTTCACAAGCATGCCTACTGTTTACAAAATCTGCATCTGATGGTTGAAGATCCAAATGCGCAATATCTGCTCTGATATTGCCTTTGGTTCAGATACTAGGGAGTATGGTAATTTTCTCATTTCTAAATTGCTGCATTAAATAATGCTCACTGAAAGGAATGGAAGCTAAGAGTCTCATTAACTGTTATACTGTAGGTCTATTCATAATGTACTTTGAAGAGGAAATGGTCAAAATGGGCCCAACTGTTGGCTTTTGTGGTAGTTTTACGCTTTTTGGGTTTTAGGAGGTTGGAACTAATTCTTTAATGCATAATTCATAATAATAATATTCTGCATGAAAAACTCTAGGTTCTGCATTTTTTTTCTTCAATATAAATCATACCATATCTTCAGTATCTTCTACCCAGCCTCTAATTCTGGAATGATATTAACAGTGGGGAAACAAAAGATGAGATTTATGGTCATTTACTATGTGATAGTACAAAATTTTGTGTTATGTTTTCATAATACAGAAACAAGAATCATAGTACTAGAAACTGCAGGGAGCTATTGCAGCAGCTTCCAAACAAGCATGGTACTTAGTACATAAATTGAAGACTAGACAAACTGCAATAGTAAAGTATAATTCTTAAAATCCACTTGTAGTAGGTTTCTTGAAGTATAGATACTATTTGAGTTCCATGACCTTATGTCAACATGGATAAATACAGAGAAGTAGCTAATAGAGTTCTGTTTTTGAAAAGGTTGGATATAAAACAAGAAAAGTTTTAAAATTGAGATTGTTTCTTTCATGAAAATGAATAATATTTAAATACTCTCTCTATACTCAGAGAGAGAATGAAAAGTTCTTACTCTAGGCCATCGCAATTTCTTTTAAAAGTCTCAAAAACCCACCCTACTGGTGAAGTAAACTGCTCATGAGGATTTATCTGTTGAGTTGAAGGACAAGGATTTTTCTCTTGGCCAATGTGAATTCATTGCTCATCACATTTCTGACATATTCTGATCTGTGGTTTTCTTGTCTACTGACAAGGGAACATGGGACCTTAGTTTAGGATAAACAGTAGAGATTTGTGTTTATGAACTAAGGAATCCAACTTTGGAATTTAGCCTCTAAATTACTGCAATTAGAAATTGCCTACATAAAAGTTTTACATGTAAAAAACATTAGGAATCTTTGCTATTTAATTTGGATTACATATTTCTTCACTCTTTGAATTAAAACTCATAACTAAGTTGGTAATCTTTAGAAGAATAGCTGAAAAAATACATTTATTTTGGACAATTTATTTAAATTGTGGACTTGATGAGTCAATCAATCAACAATTATTTATTTATCTTTTATGTACTTTAAAAATGTCTTAGGCATTGAAGACTCTAGGAGAAAGATTAATAGGCTTAACTCCTAAGAAACTTAATAGATGAATAAGAATTAAAGACTAATATAAAAGAATTTATTAGAATAATGTACCATGGTACTAAAAATTAATTACGAAATCATTTAAACAAGATTTTAATTCCTATGATAATTCTTAAGCAGGAAAAGCCATGAGGAAAATCTTTAAGGATGGGTGGAGGTGCTTAAAAAATGGATGGGTGGAAGCAGAAAGAGAGAGCATGGTGAATGTGAATAAAGGTAGATAAGCAGGCATAATAATGATGGAGGAAGAGATGGACATGATTAGATCAGAGAATGAGTATTAAAGAAATAAAAGTGAATAGGTCTAACTGGGACACATGTTGGAAGATCTTGGCAACCAGGCCAATCCACAATTGATAAAAAAAAGAAACAAGCATTGAAGGCTTTTGAGGAAACTTGGACAGACATGATGCAGACAACATTTGGGAAATGTTTATTTGGTAGTTCTGTCCAGCATAATTTGAATGACAAAGAAAGAAAGTGCTGTCAGACTGGCTAGTTAGAAGGTTTTTGATCATGAGAAAATGGAAATGATAAATCAAGGAGAGAAACAAACGACCTTCAGAAACAGGAATCTTTAGGATTTGAGATCTAAAAATGTGGAATGATAAGTCATTATAGAAGATCCTACAAACACTTTAGTCTCCAGGTGGGGAATATTTTACTTGCACATGAATGTTTCACTAGATGCCTTCCTGGGCTTATTAATCGGTCTCTTCCCAGCTTGCCTTATTAATGTTGATTGCCTTTGAAATATTTTTTATTCTGTGATACCCCACATCTGCTAACAAAGAAGAGCACTCTTGCCAGCATTGTTTCTGAAACTTCCCTTACCTTTGTCAGGTCCTTGTTTTGCCTCTTTATCTATCTAATACCTTGCATAGTTTGCAAGGTTCTCAATGTTGGCTTTGCTCTTGGTTCCTCTTTACAATGCTGCTTTCAGATACTGCTCAATCTCTGAAATTTCCTACAAATTTCTTTACCCACATCAGAATTTTGGTCCTGTCTGTCATAACCCTTTCAATCCCAGAAGGGAATTTGAATGCCTCACATGCAAATCACATTTATATATAAACTGAAAATTAAAATAATCTTCTGAGAGCAGGCAATATAGCCTTTATTCCCCTTAGTGTCTACTATAACACATAGTATAAAGTTTTATATAATTTTTAAAAATTTTTTTTTACTGATTTTAAGCAATTTGATTGTAATGTGCCATACTTTTCTTTGTGTGTGTGTGTGTGTGTGTGTATACTGCTTGGAATTTATTGAGATTATTAGGTATATAGACCTATAGTTTTCCTTAAATTTGAAAAATTTTCTAGTGTTATTTTTTCCAAGATTTTTTGCCCCCCGCCCTTTTCTTTTTCTGAGACTCCCATTATATGTATGTTAGATGCTTGATATTTTCCTACAAGTTATGGAGACTTTTAAAATTTTTATTCATTTTTTTTTAAATCACTATGCTGTAGTTTAGTTAGATTCTGTGTCTTCAGGTTCTTGGATCTTTTCTTCTAGGACATTGCAGAGCCATTTTAAAGAGTGGGGCTCCCTTTCTGATTCAGGTGAGTTAGGATGCCCAGCCTAATGCCTTAGTGGGGGTGGGGGCTACAGACACCTGCGGCATGGGATGCGCCTAGTGGAGCCATGACATGAGAGGAGCTATCTCAAAGAGCTCTAGAATAGCTGGGGTCACTGCCACAGCGTAGACAGTACCCATGGAGGTGACACTGCTGTCACAGTGGATCTGAAAGACAGAGCATCAAGCCAAAGAAGATTATTCTTGAGTCTTAAGGTCTAACGGAATTTTCCCTGTTAGTGTTTGTATTTATTTTGGCTCTATTACTTTTTTTTTTCTTTTCTATTTCTCTTTCTCTCTCTCTCTTTTTTTTGAACAAGAGTACCTATCATATGCCTGTTCCATCACTGCATTTTATAAGCACATAACTTGTTTGGTTTTACAAGTTCACGGTTTAGAGAGGAATTTACGTCAATATGAAATATATCCTGAGTCTTACCCATATCTGATTTAGATGATATTTAGATGAGACTTGAACTTAGATTTTAGAGTTTATGCTGGAATGAGTTAACACTTTTGGAAAACTATGTTGGGATGTACTTTGCATACAAGAAAGACATGAATTTAGGAATGGGACAGGAACAGACTATTATGGACCGAATTTTTGTGTCCTCCAAAAAGTTATATGTTGAAATCCCGACCCTCTGGTATAATGGTGTTAGAAGGTGGTATTTTTGAGAAGTGATTCGGTCTGAAGGTATAGCTATCATGAATTGGATTAGTACCCTTATAAAAGAGACTTCAAAGAGCTCTCTCCCTTCTCCATGTGAGGACACAGCAAGAAATAGGTCATTTATGAACCAGAAAGTGGATCCTGACAAGACATGGAATCTGTCAGTGCCTTGATCTTGGACTTCTCAGCCTCCAGGACTTTGAGAAATAAATGTTTGTTGTAGAAACTTAAATGGCCTAACATAGTACCATTTCAAAAAAAAAATAAAAGGACAACTAAAAGAAATCTTGATCAATATTTGTAGAATGCTTTAAAAAAATTAAATAGGAGGTTATTTATGGTTAAAAGAAAATGGTTAGAGTGAGGAAAATATATTTACAAATAATATGTAGTTTAATACTGTATGAATAGATGTTGAGGAAAATGCAGTAGAATAGAAGATAACTCAGAAAGGAGTAAGTAAAGAGTGTAGAAAGGTGAGGTATCTATATAAGATTTTCTCTTCTTTCAAGTGTTAGATTTGAAGCTCAGGTACCTCTGGATGGGAGACCTACA